CTGAAAAACACACAGAAAAGTGAATGTGCAGTGTGTTTTTTTTTTATTTAATTGTTACCTCTTCAATTGGAAAATACACATTTGCTTTGCATTAGTGGCTCCCCTGCAATGAGTAATGTCTCTCTGCCTTTCTGTGGTGATTATGCACTTAGCAGCGTGGCTGCCAGTAGCGGTTCATTAGACTTAACAAGCGAGGGAACGTTAGCCACCCCACCAAGCACTAAGAAATTTTCTTTAATTATTATCTATGTTCTCGTTATCGCCCTTCTGCGTGACACACATCTCCCTCCTTGTCCATGAGAACGCGGTTAACTTTCAGGCTGTGCTGCAAGACCCCTCTTTTAACTCACGTCTGTGGGGGAAGACAGTCCTACGTCCTTACCAATCTACGTTTTTCTGCATGCGACTCTCAGGATTGTGCAGGTCTTCCTTGAGCAGCATTTCTTGGCTCAGGATTTCAGGTGTGGTGATGGTGATAAGATCTTTAGGAAGTGTTGCCCTGCTATGTGGTAAGGTTTAGTGTGTTCTGGTTGAAACCAGATGCACTGACTGCAGCTCAAGGCTCCATGAATTCTCTAAATCAAAGCACAAACGATAGAGGAACCACGTTTTAGTATTTGGTGTGCTGAGTGACCTTTCGCATCTATAGACCATAAAAGGAAGTGGATAATCTCTCAAAATAAAACTAAAAATACAGCAAATGTGCACCTAAAATATTATGTTTTTCAATTTTATGTGAAGCCAATATTTTAAAAGAAACAAACTACCAGGGACTTTGATGGAAATTAATGGAAATGAGCTTGTACCTTTCTGGAAAATTACTTAAAAAGCAGTATACTATTTTTTGCCTTCATCTTATAAAGATGTGTGCCTTATGCCTCCAAGCTCATACTACATGTCTAAGCGTTTGTACAAAGACTTTGACTTTTATGAAGACTGTTCTAAACACAGCTAGTTGTGATATCATTGTAAGCTTTCAAAACTTTCTTGTAACTAAGAAACTCTACATACCAGTAAATCAAAACAATGTAAGTATTTATTATTTGCTGGAAAAAAAAAATAATAATGCCACTTATGTAAACTAGATAGAAATTTGATTTATCAAAGTATGTTTTAAAGCTGTGTGTGGTCATCTTTTCCTCGTTTCCTCCCTACTGAAATAATAAATATGTGGATATTTGTCAAATATTTTATGGCTTCAGTTGTTATTCTCTACTATGGATTCAGCTGCTTACAGACAAAAAACTGTCATGAGCTGTATCTTCCCCAGTCTGCTCAGAGGAGGCAGTTTTCACCTACGATGCCATCCGATTTTGGAAAACGAATAGGTCAGAGCTAGGAAATTGCTACTCTTGCTTAGGTGTTTTTCATGCATTAGAGGCATCAACAAGGTGGAAGACAAGGAACCGAATTTTGCAGCTCACTGAACATTTCTGCTGTTTTTCCTGGAGATGGAACATCTTCGTGCAAGCAGCAATGTGAATAATGAGGGACCTGTACTCTCGGCAAGAGTATTTGCACGCTAAATTGCTACATGGCTCTACGAGGCTGTCAGCTGCATTCCAAGCATGCTTGATGCCCTGGGTATGAAACCTGCGCAACCAGCTACTTGTCACCAAAGCCTTTTCTCCTTTTCCAGAGAAAGCAAATAAAAAAACCCCAACATGTCATTAGTAGCCGGGGGTGTGATTCACTCAGAATGATTTGGGAAAATCTAGATGACAGTTTTCCAGCCAAACATTTGCCTGCGTTTCTGAAGCTTCGCCCAGTGATACGCGGGGTGTTGTCACTGTCAACAGGACACAGCTGTCAGCTGGGCCTTTTGGGCCAGGGCAGGCTTAACACGGTCTGAGCCCTATGGTAAGTGAAATAATGTACACGTTCCAGTGACTGGTCTTTGGGTCGTACTGCTCAAAAAATAAAAAATATAAAAATAAAAATAAAAATAAAATAAAATAAAATAAAATAAAATAAAATAAAATAAAATAAAATAAAATAAAATAAAATAAAATAAAATAAAATAAAATAAAATAAAATAAAATAAAATAAAATAAAATAAAATATATATTCCCAGGATCCCCTAAATACTACCATATTAGAAGGGATTTTTTACAGTTAATTGCATATGATATGTCCTATATATGACTGACTATACTGACAATTTCATTATGAAAAAAAAAATCATACATATTAGTATAATTCCTATTAGCAAATCTTTGGAAGGAACATTTTTATTTATTTATTTATTTATTTTTTTCAGTAACACTTTCATCTCCCTCCCACACTTGATCAAGGAATTGTTTGCCGGACTGCTGCTGGCTGTTTTTAGAATAAGTCACTGCGTTGTTATTTGGGTGGGGAGGCAGGGAGGAAAGGAGGACCACACACAGATCTAAAGCACACTTTGATAAGTCGGATTTCAATCCAGTTTACGTTACTGCCATTATTTTTCTTTCCAGCAAACAATAAATACTTACATGGTTTTGATTTACTGATAGGTAGAGGTTGTTAGCTGCAAGAAACACTTGCAGCCTATAATGACATCACAACTTCCCTGTAAACAGGAAGGTCTAAACCATCTTCCTACGGTACCAGCAGGGCTTCTGTCACCACTGGGTGCCTCTCAGCCTGAACTAATGTGCCCTCACAAGAACTTCAGACATGCGATGTCTGTCAATACCAGCGTAGAGAGAGGGGGATGAGGCCACTATCGAAAGGTTGTACTGGCGGACTACCACGTACCGCAGGCAAATATTTCCACTGACGTTATGCTTTGCACATCCTTGGCACACACGCATGGTTTCTTGGGGTGCCCCAGTTCTTACAATCTGTGTCAGGCAGACCTGAAGGTGTGCTCAGCCCCACGGGGTGCTCAGCTCACAGCTGGCACCGAGGGATGGCACCATCCCCTCTGCTGTGTGCAGAGAGAGGAGCGGCGCTGGTTGCCCTGCCTTCAGCTCGCAGGGGTTTGGTCCTTTGGAGTTTTGGAGGTTACGGTAGCAGGGCAGGCTGGTTTTGAACACTAGACCCTCTGTAAGCTGTGTTTGTGTTTGCAGTGTGGCTGGTAAGACAGACTGTTGTGTTCAGGGGAAATGGGTGTTTCCAGTATCTCCTTGCCGTGCCCTCCGTAGAAAAACAGAAAAATTGAGGCCATCACATCACAAAATGTCAAGTGGTGCCTGGTGGGGCATCGGAGAAGGGAGAATTTGTTAGGGTGAGACATTAGTAGCACAAGTACTGAGATGGTCAAATTTCAGCAAGCATCTTCAGTCACAGCAAAATGCAAAATTAGCACAAGATGTTGACAGCATTTTTTTTTTCCTGTCAGAATAACATCTCTCTTGTTCAAGTTCAGCTGTAAGACAGCTGTAGTTCCACACGCTAATCTGAAGATATTATCCTATTTTCACAAGAGCCGTATAATTCAACATGCCTATGGTTAGGTAAAAATGACCCATGTCATCTCCATTGTGCGGGTACCTTTTCCTGACTGGTACCTCGTACCTGACTGAAGGCACAGAGAAGGTAAGCAACATCTTAGGGCTTTCCAGGACCGGGCAGTCCTGGTGCAGCTCACTCTTTGCTCTGCAATGCCTTCTGGAGAGGATTCGCGTAATTTTTCTGAGTTTTCCAAGTCAGGCTTCAAGATTCACTTTCTGAGATATAACCACCCTCCTCTCCAAACCATATGTCTTACAATGACAAAATACCACGGCAGTCCTCTGTCCCTAGAGGAACAAAGCTTTCTTCACCATTGGTTCCCTCACCCTCTATCTTTTATCAGGATCACCAGCTGTGCTCCCCGCAGTAACTGCAAATCCCAGCCTGTGCAGCACTGCGGACAGGGAGAAGACCGGCATGTATGTTCGTCATGGATTAGAGGAATTAAAGGTTCTCCTGTTCTGTGCTGAGAAGGAGGCATGGTTACGTTGTGTGGAGAGGATAAAGTAATTTTGAAAGGAAGCAATAGTTCTTGTTTATGAAGACACTGGTGATGTGCTAGCAAGTGGGATTTTTTTTTTTTTTGGCTTTATAGACAAATTAATTGATAACAACTTTAATTGAAGTAACCCTAACCTAATATTTTCCAGTCAAAACAGTATATTAAATTATTTTATATATTTTTTTTTTTCCAGAATGAATAGTAAATGAACACATAAAAACTAAAAAATGTTGACTTCCTAAGCATTTTTTATTTCAGGATCACAACCAATGGCTTTAGTCATGCGTTGTCAAAGGTATGAGAGCGCGAGTGGGTATGGGGCCAGCTGGTTTCTTGGGGGCCAGGCCTCTTGTCAGCACCAGAGCCTTCAGGAGGAGAAATGCTCACTCTTCAGAGGGTTGCTGGCACTCACGAAGGCAACCTTCAGTGAAAGGTGAAGGTTGGTTACCTTATGCCTTGTCTGCTGAATTACCTTACCCTGAGTTACCTTACCCTGAATTACTTTGTCTGCTGAAGTGTCGGGAGGAGAGGCGAGCCTGGCAAGCAACATAACCCCACAGGCAGCCTCTCTGCTGGGATTTTGTGATCTGACAGGCTTCTAGGGAGGTTCTTGGCCTAAACAGGACCATTCATAGAGCTGCAGTAGTTGGTCCAGCGCAGAGCCATGAAGATGTTTAAGGGATTGGAGCATCTGTTTTAGGAGGAAAGACCGAGCAAGCTGGGGCTGCTTAGCCTAGAGGAGATTGAGAGGGGATCTGATCAACCTCTACAAATACCTGAGGGGACAATGTAAAGAGGATGGGGCCAAAGTCTTCGCAGTGGTGGCCAGCAATAGGACAAGGGGTCATGGGTATGAACTGAACCACATGTTTCATTGCCACATGAGGCAGCACTTCTTTACTGTGAGGGTGACTGAGCACTGGACAGGGAGACTGCGGAGTCTCCGTCTTTGGAGATACCCAAAACCCGCCCGCGTGCTTGAGGCGAGGGCCGCACCTTCCCCTCCTCAGCGCCGCCTCCCTCCCTCCCGCCGCCCCGCCTCCCCCGGCGGCTCGGGCCCCGCCGCCCGCCGAGCGGCTCAGCCCGCACCGCCCCGACCCGACATGGAGCCGGGGCCGCCGGGGGGCCCCGCTGCCGCCTCCGCCACCTCCGCCGCCACCCCCGCCGCCCCCGCCGGGCTGCCGCTGAGCGAGAGCGAGCAGCAGCGCTACTCCGAGCTCTTCTCGCGCTGCTGCCCGCCCCCCGAGGCGGCCGCCGGGGGCAGCAGCGTGGGCGAGCTGTTCCGGGCCTCGCAGCTGCCCCCGGACACGCTGCACCAGGTGGGTCGGGGGGCTGCGGGCGGCCGGGGGGCGAGCGGGGCGCGGGGCGGACCCCCCGGGGCCGGGCGCTGCGGGAGGAGGGCACGGCGCCTCGGGGCTGCGGCTCCCGGGCGCTTTGCTTCGTTTCTTTTCGTTTTCTTGCGTTTCGTTGCGGTTTGGTTCATTTTACTCTATTTTATTTGGTTTTGGTTTACTGCTTTATTATTTTATTTTTTTTATTTTTTTATTTTATTCTTTTTTATTTTATTCTTTTTTATTTTATTCTTTTATTTTATTTGATTCTTTTTTTATCTTATTCTTTTTTATTTCTTTTTAATTTTTTTTATCTTTCTTTTTTTTTTTATTATTCTTTTTTTTATTTTGTCTTACCTCCAGCCAAGCTGTTGCTGCTGCACATACCCACCTTTCCCTCCCCCCCCCCCCATTTGCCCAGGTGCCTTAGGGGTGGCCACTGCACCCCTTGCCCCCATGTCTTGCCCCTGGGGTACCCGCAGTGCTGTTCGCAGCCCCCCGCGCCTGCACGCAGCCTCCCAGGCAGGGCAGCTCGGCAATGCCATGAGCTGCCTCCAAAGAGCCGGCCGGGCTGCAGAGGGCATGCAGCGTGTGCAAGTTTTGCCCTCACTGTGATTTTCAAGGGGTGTTTCAGTGCAGCTGGACACCAAGCGATGGGGTTGCATCAGTACACCTGTACTTGAATGCATTAATTTAGGAAGCAGGGGACTCTCGCCCATGCAAGCAGCAGAGCTCCAGCAGCGATTCCCCACGGAGGTGATGGGGCTCCCACGAAACCCTTCCCAACTGCAAGGAGCAGCTAGGGCTGTGCTGCTCCCTGCCACCCTGAAGGCGTGGGCTTTTGCTTTTCCCTGCCTGCAGGTGGGCGATTTGACCCACAGATGGAAATTTTCAAGCAGAAAAAAATCATGTCAAAGTGGGGCTGAAGTGTAGTTACAGCTAGCCTGAGGGAACAGGACTGCTCCTCCACTCGCTTTCCTGACTGCCAGGTCGTCTCTCAACAACTTTATTTTGTATAAATCCGTATTACCTAGGTGACTCTGAATGAAAAAGGTGATATTGAGAGGATGCTTTTCCCCTCTTACTTGCACTGTTTACCAGACATACAAACCGCAGCTGATCAGTGCTTTGTTTGCAGTCACACCGTGGCCTTCGACCTGCAGGGAAGTTCATGGGAAGGCAAAGGTATCACAGATCCAGCACCAAGAGCAGGTCCTTGCAAAGAGGAAGGAGAGGGCATCTAATTTCAAATAACAGCATACTAAAGAAGTGTATTAAAGCCCTATTGGTAAAGTTCTGTGGCTTTGGTATTAGCCATTTCATTTTCCAAAGAGTTACAGAAAAAAACCTCTTAGTTTTATTACATAGATCCTTATCCTATCATTTAAATGAATTTGGTTGTCATATTATCACAGTCCGTTCTGGGGGTTTCTTTGGAGTTTGTTTGGATTGTAACGTGTGACTTAAGCCTGGAAATGTTTTGGTATTCTTTTTTTTTTTCTTTTTTTAATATTTTAGATTATTTCCAGGTATATTTATGATGTGGGGAGAACGTTACTGGGAAACAACTTTGTAATTGGCTTCAGGAATCTTCAGGATAATAAGACCTTTGGGATCTGGGGTTGTTTCTCTTCTTCCTTCCTGCCCTGCCCCTCTTGTTTATATGGCACTAATCACAGTGAAGCTGTGGTCTGTGGCTGGAGCTCCTATCCACCAAGCCCACTGCTGTCAGGTATTCTTACTAACGTTTACTGGAACTGAAGAAAAAAATGAGTTGCCATAATGAAAAAAAATGGAAACGTGGATCTTCTGATATGGGAAAAACCACAACATTGATTTTCCTGGGATATGTGATGACACTTTGTCTTTCGTTATCCTCCAAAAACGGAATTTCATAGTTTTTGTTTAAAAAATAAAAAGTACCATTCTAATAATTGTGGAAACAAGGCACAGCAGTTCATGGTAGCTGTTTTCTGCTAGTGCTGGGAACACCCGTTTTAGGCAGAGGCAACTCATTTGGGTTAAGATAACATGCTTTCTTTGAAATGACTGTTGACCATGAAGTTTTCTCAAAACAAAACATATCCTTTCAAAATCCCCATCTGTCACAATTAGTGCTTCATAAGCTGGCATCTCTACAGAGCCATCAAGAAATGGTCGTGCTGGGTTTTGTCATGTCGGAAATGTGGAGATTTGGATTGGAAAATGACTCCGGATTTCAAGTGAGCTGAGCTTGTGCAGTACAGAAGGTACTTGTGCAGTACAGAAGGTACTGAGCACCATTCCCCGGCCCTTAAATGGGCTACAGCAGGAGGTGGCCGTGGACCATTTTGTAAGCTCTGCGTGACTTAAGCATTTTTGTCCTCAAGGTATTCACGAGGAGTGGCTTTACTGAATGCTGTGCTTCCAGAACTGGCGTTTGGTGCCACGGCAAAGTGCTGAACCTGTGCCGTTGCCTTCAAGGTTTTGTGCTTGTGCAATAAGTGGGATAAAGCTGTGAGAAAGAGGGAGCCTTTCGTGATACAGTGTTTGATGGAGGTTTCTTGTTGGTTGGGAGGATGCTCACAGGAGCTGTGGGAAATCTCCTTCCACCTTCCTTGAATGCAGCGTCAGGGTTTGCAGTCCCGACAAAGGTGCTGTGGGTGCAGCGAGGTGGAAGCCCCGCTGTTGGATATGGCAATTCCTGTGGGGAAAAACAAGGACGTGTGCTCCCAAACAGCGAAGAGGCATGGTTTTGTTCGGTTGAAGGTTCATTGGCTCAATCCAGGAGGTAATTTAGATGAAATAGGCTAGGTAGCAGGGAGCAGGTAACATCAGAGTACATGCCAGAAGAGGAAATGCTGGTTTAAATAGGAAAAAATCCAAGAGTGGCCAGGTCAGAAGGAGCAGATGGTGTGCACCCGAGAGCCCTGAGTCTTGCTAAGAATGAAGTGCTTGAACACAGATTCATTACACACAGACTCATTAAAATCAGCTATTCTGCAGGACCATAGAGTACAGCAGAGGCTGTAGCAATTTAACTTGCTTTAGAGAAGGGGCCAGGGAGCGAACTCAGCAGGAGTTATTTCAGTTCTGGAAAAATGGTTGGAGTTATAACTGGAATTAAAAATGTAAGACGCTTGACAGGTCTGGGAAGGGCACAGCAGGGACAGGGCAGCGTGATTTTTGTGGGCTGTGTAATCATACAGACTCACGGCAGAGGCTGGCAGGGACCTCTGGAGGTCACTGGGTCCAACCCCTTGCTCAGGCAGGGACATGCAGAGCAGGCTGCCCAGGACCACGTCCATTCCTCCCTGTGTAGAGGAAGCCTTTGGTGTGCTGAAAGGCAGCACCACGAAGGTTTTATTTAGGCTTGCACAGAGCCTGGGGCGAATCTTTCACCAGGGTCTTTTAAAATAACTCTGTGAAATGTCTACAGTCTCTTGCCTGAAAGATCCATGCTAGGATTGTTTATTTTTAATATTTATGTCAGGGGAGGAAGGAACAGGCTAGTCATGTGCCATGCTGTTACATAGGCTCAGAAATAGAGGAAACTGAATGGCATCAGCCACATATAAATTTAGCGTTGGTCCAGTTGGAAGGGATGTTCCCTATGTTTTGACTCATAATAGAAGAAAAAAGAATTTGCGCAAAGAAAAAACATGCATGAAAAATAAATGTTTGCACGATTGCATCTCAGGCAGGAGGCACGGCACCACTGATGACCATGAGGAGATGACAGCAAGGTTCGCATGCCTGCAAGGGAAAACTCTCTCTGGGGATAAGGAATGAGTCTCTCCGTAGTAACCCCCGTGCCACAAGTGGCAGCAGTGGCCATTTAGCCTTGTTTCAACTGTGGCAATGAGGCGTGATCCAATTTTAAAGCTAGCTGTCGGTGAGGACAGCCTCTGCTTATTGACTCCGTGATCCCAAAGTGCTTTCGTTAGGTATGCCAAGTACCAATGGACTGATGTTTGCATGGATTTCAGATAAAAGAGTGCTTTATACAGTTATTACCCACTGGTCTGCAAAGAGGAGGTGCCTTGTGGTAATTCTGCTGTTTGCCAGTATTACTGTGAATCTCTGAAGATTTTAACTAAGGATGAGGCTCAAGTTGTACACTGAACTCCTTATCTGATTAGTTTTTCACGTATTTAATTAATTCCCACTTGGTTGTGTGATGGTATCTTTAATTCCTGGTTTTACAAACCTTAATTTTACTTGCGGACTTGCAGTATCAGCACAGAGATCCAATTTTATTAAGAAAATGCATTCTTTCCTCTACAAATGAACAAACTGAGTTATTTCGAGCTCCGAGGTTGACAAGTACTAATTGTATGACTCTGGAGCTACACAGACACTGCTTTTTTTTAGTTGGACCTCTCCTTCCAGTTCTGTGTGAATAGGGAATTCAGTCTTGCTTTTCCTCTGCATGGTCCATGAGTTATTTTGGTGACTTGTCTCTATAGTTACTCTGAATTGTTTAACCGTCCTGTTGTGTTCAAAAGCAGAAGTGTGAATAGATTAAAAAAAAAAAAAAGAAAAAAGTTGCTAAGATTCTATTTCATTGGAAAAGTGCCAGTAAAGGGTTGGCTTTTCTATCATTTATTTTTCATAAGCATAAATTACTACCTGCACGATAGCTGGGGCGGTGTTAGCTTAAAACAGTTTCTCTAGGCAGAAAAGAATAAGAACTGATGGCAGTTAAAATATGAGCTTTTCAAGTGAGGAAAGTCTAGAGTTATTGTTACTTCACAAAAGGTAAAATTCACTCTGTTGTGCCCCTGTACAGAATTTGGCATTAAGCTGTTCTCAGTGCTGGAAATACAATTGAGCTGAACGATGAACAGCAAGCACATCGAAGAAGCTGTGTTAGCTAGGAGGGCACATGGAGAAATTACATCCAGCTGACATCTTTGAGTCAGGAAGAAACAAAAGGGAGGTACAATTTTATGTAAGTGATACAGCAAGAAAAGAAAACTTGACATTTCAGTATCAGGACTTCTGGC